AGTATAACATAATTATAGCAAGGACCCCCCCCTCCAAAAAAACAAAATAATAATAATAAATAATAATAAATAAAAATAAATAAATAAATAAATAAATATATATATATATATATATTGGTAATTATTTAGACCCCTATATTACCTGCCAAACCAGAACCTTCTCAAAGCCCCACATCCTCAACAACGCCACAAAGTTTCTTCGTGCAGCGACCTTTGAAGAACTCCAGAGACCAGGGCTCCTGCAAAGCTTGGACATCGGGGCAAGACCGAAACGCCTCATAGAGTAGTTTTATAGGGCTTACAAGGTTTAGGATTTGGGGGGGTCCTTGAACTGAGAGCTCTTAGGCTTGAGCCTATATGGGCCTCCACCGCGCCCTGCATGCGAAAAACGCAGACATGGCTGAGTCGTTAGGCAGCGCACCTCCTCAGTGATGTTCAGCCCCGTGATGATCACGGGAAGTCCAGGACGGGCGTAGGCGTTGATGAACTCCTCTCACAAGTCCCGGGCACATGAGCGTAGAGCGGCCGTTTCAAGACGTATGGTAAGAGTTGCGAATAGCCAGGGTAAAGCTTTTAGGGACACAAACACCACACTCCACAACCAGCTTCATGTCGCAAGGCTTCCAACCTAAGGAAGGCCGGGGTGCAAAAAACTTCTGGAGGAGGATTCAGAATGCTGTGGGGTTTAGGGTTTAGGGTTTGGGGTTTTGGGTTTCAAAAGGCAGTATGCCCATGCTGCACAGGAACCTTCATTCGAAACCGAAACGCCATTTCGGTGTAGTTCGAGTGTGCAAAAATGACGGTGGTATATTTGTCTCCGGCCTGCTTGTACCTGTGTACTGTCACGCACATCTAACTCTAGATTCCGCAGGGCCTAGATACGGGCACAGTACATAGCTCTAGCTTTCAACTTTTGAGGATACCCCTTACCGTGGATGTGTCCGGAGGACGTCATTGTTCGCGTCCGTTACACGGGGGAGCTTCGGCCAGAAAGAAGGGTGAAGGAACAATCAGCATCAACTGTACTAATGTAGCGACCTTAATACTCATACTAGGGTTTCGGGGTATATTTTACTATAGTTACCATAAGGATCCCTAAGGAACGATATAGGTAATTATTGAGGCGTCTATATTAGCAACGAAAATGCTGACAAACACACTGCTTTACAAAACCCAGAGATCGTCCAATGCAACTTTTGCGAAATTCGTGATACTAGGGATCATGGTGCTGCGATGAATACCGAATGCATGATGCTCAAATTGACGCTGGCACCGAACAACAACAGCGCGCCAACAACCACCATACTTGTATAGTAAGCCGTCATACCATCAGAATCCGGCAGTGCCTCCACAGACAACTCGGAAGCGTCACGCCGCGGGACCGCTCGCTGCGGTGGCGGCGGGCGTTCTGCAGGCAGTTTTGTAGCAGGCTCTGACGGGTTTGGGCTGTGAGGTGTCTTGAGCGCAACCCTCAGACGGTTGCCAGCCCTCCAAGTACCCACTACAGCAACCTATAATGAAATACGCGTTGCTGAAGACTCTGGCTATACAATCTCTACCTTCAGGGGTCCTGCGTTTCTTTGGCACACGGGCCGTGGCTCATTGATGCAACGTCCCTCTCTCGCACAGCTTATGCTCGTTGCAGTCTTGATACTGTTCTTCTCCAAATAATCACCTGTGTAACATATATTATATTATATATATAGATATGCATATACATACACGTTGATTCATGTATGTATATACAATACACGTAAATGTATCTTCCCCAATTAATATCAATGTGGCGCATTCTATGGGGTTCTTATGGCGGGAGTAAAGAAAAGAGTATGAGCTCGAGGCACGACACACACGGAAGGTTCCGTCAGCTGTGCTGTCTCTGAATCCCACCAGTGCATGGTGAGGCCGAGGGGCACATTGTGTCGCATGGAAGGAAGCAACTGCCGAGATGCAAGCGGGACGAAACCTTAAGTCAGACCCATGAAGCCCTATAGAAAACCCCAATAAAGCTTCTAAAGGAATCCCCCCCGTAAAGAGCCCATTGACCCTTATAGAAACAGAAGGCGTCCCGTCCTAGATTTCCATTCCGCGCCAATTCTTCGAGCTCGGTAAAGAGCTGTCCTGAACACAGCGTAGGTTAGGGTTTAATATAGGGGCCTTAATAATTAGAATAGGATATTGGGACCTACTTACAAAAAGGAATCCCCCAAAACAGTATTGGTAATTATTTGGGCCCCTATCATATATAGGCTTTGGGCCTTAGAGCTTAAAGAAGCTAAACCCTGAACGGCCATAGTGTATAGTTCTTTTTGGGGATGACCTTCTAGGATTCTAAATATGAACCCCAAAAAGGAACTATTGTGGGGCCTATGGGTAGATTGAGGTTCACTTGGGTTCTTCGGGAGTTCTTAAGGGGTTGAGGGTAAATTTGCTATGGCAGGGGGACCGCAGTTCCAAGTTAAGAGGGCTACTCAGGTTTAAGGTTTAGGGCTTAGGGTTTAAGGTTTAGGCTTTGGGGTTTAGGGTTTAGACTCGTTCTTATACAGCACGCGACTTATAAGTACTGTTATCCTATACTGTACGAGACTTATAAGTACTAAAAATAAGGTTGCAAGTCGTGATTAGTACAGCTACCCCCCCCAAATAACCCTAGTTGCTAAGTCCGATGATCCTTTAAATACGGTCAGAGTGGGGTTCTGCGAGAGTTGGACGGTTCTACCGAAGGGATACAGTAAAACCATTGCTCGGGCCATTGTGGTTGATGTCATTATGGGTTTAGGGTTTAGGGGTTTAGGATTTAGGGTTTAGGGGTTTGGGGTTGAGGGGTTAAGGATTCTTGGCAATGAGATTTCCTTATGGTTCATGTTAAGTAACCGTCTCACTCTCTATAGGAGTAGGGCTACCACTACAGCTTCTAGGGAATAAATAGCCTAACCAACTTCAGCATTGTCGGCTTCAGTTCGCCCAACTGGCTTCCGATGTCGTTCGCTGCATAAATAATATTCCGCATCATCAAAAACAAATCGCGTAACGAACAGTTCAAGCTCAACTGGCTGACCATCAGCCAGGCAACCCTTAACAAAGCAAAACTACTCAAAACGCTGAGCCCTGCAAATTTAAACTGGGCATTCATCCTTCCTCCACTTTGTTCAGTTGGACCAGGAATCGTACGTTTGTCCAGCTATCGGTTCGGAAACACACGCACCGCGGGCAACTCATCTCAAAAATCTAGACTCGCAAACCAGGGTTTCAATCCAACACGACCCTCAACCCCAAGCCCAAGCCCCTCAACCCTAAACCCTAACCCCTATAACCCCTAAACCCTAAAAAGCATGAGGTCCATTGTCGCAGGGACCCTTCAAAGCGAACCCCAAAGCGGTGCCGTGGCATAGCTCCTCAAGAATACAAAGTCCAACGCCGAGTCTTAATAATTAGAATAGGGCTTTGGGGTTTCCTCTAAAGGGCTTCCTTAAAGGTTTCTATAAGGGCCCTTAAAAATTAGAACAAGGTATAGGTATTAAGGCCTCTATATTAAGCATGCTAACACCCTCTTAAATGCGGACGCCCGTACAAAAAACCCTGCGATCTTTGGTACAAAACTCGAAACCCCCATGCCCTGCGCCAAATAATGTAGGGGCCTTAATCATTAGAATAGGGTTTTGGGGCCCATTATACCGTAATTATAATAAGGAGCCCCCAGAATAATATAAGTAATTATTCAGGCCCCTACGTTACCTTTGAAGGATCGGCTTGGGGTTTGTGTCGCTCGAGACGGAACATGTACCAAGTTTGTCAACAACCTCGGCCATGCATGATGTAAAAGCGGGTTTAGGGTTTTAGGGTTTAGGGTTTAGGGTTTGGGTCCAATCCACCTCATCGTGCAGACATCACGGCAGGTCCATTGTCCTGTGCCAGCATTGAGCCTGCTGTTTGCGAATAGTATCAGTTGCTTGACGTCCAGCACGATGTCCGGGATCAATACTTTTGAAAAGATCCGTTAAACTCCGTTGAAATGAGTCTATAGCGCACCGCAAGTTCCTTTGTGAGAGCCGCTGAAGCTAATGAATGAGAATGGGAGCCTGGCATCTGTGGCATTGGGCCCAAGGGTGCGTATAGGAGAATTAAACAGGGAATCATCGATGCTGCGCAGCTAGCACTGAACAATGCAAACCTCTGAACCCTAAGCCCTAAACCGACCTACACATCGACTCAATCGGCTATAGCGGAAACGACCCATGCCACTCACAGGTTCCCTGGTAACTTCTTCAAGTAGACAAAGTGAAACAGGCTGCCGGGGAACTCCAGGGCAAGGCCGATGTCCACTATGTGGAGCCAATCGAGCTGGACCATTGCTAGGAAGAAAAGGGCACGAAAGCAGTGGGCTCTTCCTCGGCATCTCGCACACAGCATCCCATTGCGACTTGTGATTCTGCATCCACGGAGCGTCAGGGCCCACCTTATCCAGGAGCGCTTGATGTTGCATAACCAGCAGCAATTTACAAACTCGCGATTAACCGAACCTTGGCAATGGCATTTGTGTAGACTGCTGTCTTTTTCATGAGGGTTTAGGTAGGGTCCAACCCAAGTGCAAGGTAAGGATTAATTTCTCATGGTCTTCACTTCATTTCAAAGGTAGAAATACTTCAGATACCCTAAAAATTGAAGCCTGAACCTACAACCCTACCGTCCTAGCCAAGGTCGATGTCAAATAGGAGCTTTCATTGCACATATCCCCATCGACCATTCAGATACCGTCTGACAACATGCCGTCTGAGCCATACATAATTGAATAAAGCCCAAATATGAGCCCGCCGCTAAACCTTCAACTCTGAACATTACCTACCCTAGACCCCGCAACACCCTCAACTCTAAGCATTACATTAAAGCCTATACACCCTAAACCCCTGAAGTTCTAAACCCCTAAACCCTAAATCCTGCAATCCTTTGCCCCAAACCCCTAAACCCTAAAAACCCTAAATCTTAAACCCTACTCCCCCACACCTTAAACCCCTAAACCCCTAAACCCTAAAACCCTAAACCCCCACACCTTAAACCCCTAAACACCTTAAACCCCTAAACCCTAAAGCGAAGGTCGGAGGTCGAGGAAGAGCTCTAAAAGCGCGAAGCGCTCCTCGTAAAAGGCTCTGAAAAGCTTCAGACATCCCGGATCCGATTTAGAGTCTAAGGGTATAGGGTTTAGAGTTTAGGGGTTTAGGGGTTTTAGGGGTTTTAGGGGTTTTAGGGGTTTTAGGGTCTAGGGTCTAGGGTTTAGGGTTGAGGGTTTAGGGTTTGGGTTTAGGGCCCAACAGAATGGCAAGTGATCTTCAGGGCACCGGAAGTCTAGGGAACACAGGAAAACCTCACCGGGCAATGTAGCGGCCAGGACATGCACAAACTGGAAAGTTGTCTGGAGATCCCTAAACCCTAAATCCTAAACCCCAAAACCTAAACCTAAAACCCAAAACCCCTAAACCCCTAAACCCCTAACCCCTAAACCCTAAACCCTAAACCCCAAACCCCCACTGGCGCTGCCAGGGCTCGGAAGAGGGATCTTAGCTCCTTCTGGCCATGAACCCTGAGGGAAACTCAGGAGTCGAGGAATTGGTCGGCTCACGGCTTTGAGGGATTCAGGGCTTAGGGTTTGGGTTTAGGGTTTAGGGTTTAGGGTTTAGGGTTTAGGGTTTAGGGTTTAGGGTTTAGGGTTTAGGGCTTAGGATGTAGGGCTATTGCACATCAGAATCCACGAGTATACCCGAAAGGAGCCACATTAACCAAGCAAGCCCCCATGAAGCCCCTATCAACACACCGAAGCATACCCGTCCCCTTAAACGGCCCGCGCCTACTGTAGGTTGATATTCGCCGACACAACGTGTCTGCAGCAACTGCACATCCCGGAATCCGAAACAAAAAACGAATGTGCACAGGATTTGCGAAGGATATACGGCTGATGGGTCCTACAGTTCATCGGTTAGGGGTTGGAAAAGATTTAAGGGGATTCGGAATACGGGCTTGACTAATTTATACTATTTTGCTGTTGTTCACACAAGGTCACAAGGGTCATGGGGATTTTTCATATCCTTTCACGATGTATACCGTAAACAGCATACCGTAAACAGCAATAATCTAGCTTTGTCAAAGGTCTTAATACAAGCCTTTGTACATGATCAATATTATGTATGATAAAGAAACTGAGAGGCAACCTACAAACAAGCCACACACAAAGGCAAGGATCCAGATATAGGGGCAACCAAAGGGCCATATTCAGGACACTTTACGTGTGAGGCTCAAGTGTGAGGATCTTGCGTTCACATTTTGTTTGGGGCCCCATGATTGCAACCCCTAGATAATGTAGGGGCCTCAATAGTTACCTATATTATTTGGGGGGCTCCTTATTATGATTATAGTCTAATATACCCCCAAACCTCATTCTAATCATTTCTATTTATATTATGCAAAGTAGAAACCTCCGAACCCGTTGTTCACGAAAGCCGAGAGACAAATGCTTGACAAAGCCTCGCAACTGCTTCAGTGCCTGTCAACAGCAAGGTCACTTTTGCGTTTCGGGGCTTAGAGGTGTACTGGATTCAGGGCTAGAGTCGACGGAATACGCCTGTAACAGGGCTGCTTCCTGCTGCTTCAACGTTAAGAATTGAGATGTTAAACTTAACGCGTAACAACAAAGCCTAGACCATGAACTGCCCAAGTGGACTCAATCCTCTGAATTCCAGTCTTGCGGAATTGGTCTTCGGGGTTGAAGGCTCTGGAAAATAATGTAGAATGGACCAGGACTTGTACGGCCGAAGGAATGTATACATGTGTTGATGTATGTGACATATATATATATATACATATGTATAACAAAATACAACGGTGAAGGAATACATGTATGTGTATGTGTACATGTACATGTACATGTATCTGTATCTGTACATGACTGTATATGTATATGTACATGTATTCGTATGTGTATGTATATGTATTTGTATGTATACGTGTGTATATGCATATGTACATCTGTTTTTGTATATGCCTTTGCGTATGCATATGTAGATGTAAACTGATATGTATGTGTGTGTGTATGTGTATGAGTATATA